GGACCTGCGGAAGCAGTGGACTGAGTCTGGAGTAGAAACATCCAGAGCCACCGTGCACAGGCGTGTGCAGGAAATGGGCTACAGGTGCCGCATTCCCCAGGTCAAGCCACTTTTGAACCAGAAACAGCAGCAGAAGCGCCTGACCTGGGCTACAGAGAAGCAGCACTGGACTGTTGCTCAGTGGTCCAAAGTACTTTTTTCGGATGAAAGCAAATTTTGCATGTCATTCGGAAATCAAGGTGCCAGAGTCTGGAGGAAGACTGGGGAGAAGGAAATGCCAAAATGCCAGAAGTCCAGTGTGAAGCACCCACAGTCAGTGATGGTCTGGGGTGCCATGTCAGCTGCTGGTGTTGATCCACTGTGTTTTATCAAGGGCAGGGTCAATGCAGATAGCTATCAGGAGATTTTAGAGCACTTCATGCTTCCATCTGCTGAAAAGCTTTATGGAGATGAAGATTTCATTTTTCAGCACGACCTGGCACCTGCTCACAGTGCCAAAACCACTGGTAAATGGTTTACTGACCATGGTATTACTGTGCTCAATTGGCCTGCCAACTCTCCTGACCTGAACCCCATAGAGAACCTGTGGGATATTGTGAAGAGAAAGTTGAGAGATGCAAGACCCAACACTCTGGATGAGCTTAAGGCCGCTATCGAAGCATCTTAGGCCTCCATAACACCTCAGCAGTGCCACAGGCTGATTGCCTCCATGCCACGCCGCATTGAAGCAGTCATTCATGCAAAAGGATTCCCGACCAAGTACTGAGTGCATAACTGAACATGATTTGAAGGTTGCCGTTTTTTGTATTAAAAACACTTGTCTTTCATTGGTGGGATGGAATATGCTAATTTTTTGGGACAGGCATTTTGGGTTTTCATGAGCTGTATGCCATAATCATCAGTATTAAAACAATTAAAGACCTGAAATATTTCATTTGGTGTGCAATGAATCTGAAATATATGAAAGTTTCATTTTTATCATTACATTATGGAAAAAATGACCTTCAACACAATATGCTATTTTTTTGAGAAGGACCTGTAGACTGAATGGGCAAACTCCCAAGGCCCCTTAAGAACCCTAATGAGGGTAAATTATTGGTCCAGTGTTCCACGGCCAGGATGGAACCCGCATTGTTCCTTCTAGATCTGAGGTTCGACCAACGATCTGATTCGCTTCTTCAGTACCCCTGAATAGACCTTACCAGGGAGGCTAAGGAGAGTGATGCCCCTATAATTAGAACACACCATACTGTCCCCCTTTTTGGAGAGGATAACCACCACCCCAGTCTGTCAATCCAGTGGCACTGCCCCCAATGTCCACGTGATGTTGCAAAGGCATGTCGATAAAGACAGCCCCACAACATCTAGAACCTTAAGGAAATCATAGTGGATCTTGCCCACCCCTGGAGCCTCTCTACTATGGAGCATAACTACCACGGTGACCTCATCCACGGTTATGGACAGACCAGCCCTGAAGTCCCCAGACTCAGTTTCCTCCATCAAAGACATGCTGGTGGGATTGCGAATGTCCAAGAAGTATTCTTCCACCTCCCAACGACATCACTGATGGAGGTCAACAGCATCCCACCTTCACCAAACACAGTGTTAATAAAGCGCTGCTTTCCCCTCCTCAGCTGCTTGATTGTTTGCCAGAATCTCCTCGTAGCCAATTGATAGTTTCTATCCAAGACCTCATCAAACTCCTCCCACATACAAGCTTTTGCCTCAGCAACAACTAATGCTGTTGTCCACTTGGCCCTCCAATACTCCTCAACTATCTCTGGAGTCCTACTAGCCAACAAGGCCCGATAGGACTCCTTCTTCCACTTGACACCCTCCCTAACCCGAGATGTCCACCACCGAGTTCGAGGATGGCCACCGTGACAATCACAGACAACCTTGCAACCTCATGCGATCTTGCAAACTCATCTATAAGCCCCTCCCCCAATGTCTGGCTTCAGGGTGGGAGTGTGGTAACCCATGTCTGGGCAAGGGACACAGAGTTCCTTGTTTGTTTTTGCCCATACATGTGTATTAAAACACTCTTTGTCTGGCCTGTCACCTAGGACCAATCTGCCTTGGGAGACCCTACCAGCATATCTCCTATATTCAGGTGCACAAACTCCAACGCCACAATAAGGTGGCGATTCAAGGAGAAGATGCTTCCAGGTGGTTTCTTGTTTTCCATCTTCAGGGTATGCCTGCATGTTGGACAAAACTTTAATTTTCAACAAAAGATGTCTAAAACTGTATAATGTGGCAAGGCCCATACCACTACTAAACTTGCATATTTTACTGATGGTTCTTCATCTTTGTAAAAATACATGAAAAATAGGTTCTTAACAGCCTTAATCGTTTTTTTTCCCTGCAGAAACAAAATAAAGTTTGTGTATTTTTCTCCCAACTATTTTAAGATCTAAAATATTTAGTTTGATCTGATAGTGCCTGAAGTGCAGACATGACACCTGAAATTCCTGCTATGACTTTGTAAAAATGTTTCCGGACCTGCTGGACCAGTCTCTCCTGTGTGGCATTAAAAAGATAGAATGAGCAAGACACAATTTTCTGTTATTAAGGTTGTAGACTGAAAAGGTTTTGGGTGAGGAGGATAAGGAACGGATAAGGAAATATTGGCTATCACCGATACCTATATTGGAAGGTAAAGGCTAGTGTCGATACCCGATATATTGGCTGAAAATGTTTAAGCTTTGTCCACCCCCAAGAATCAAAGTAAACAGCTACTTTTAACCCTGTTTTAACAACAAGTCTTGAAACAGTCTTCCTAACGTGCATTCACATTTGTTATCCTCCACTATTTGCCATAAAGTTATCAAGTGCGTTACAAAACTATAAATTAAACAAAGAAACACCCATCCCTGTTCATTGTTTTAAACAGTCAGTCACGTATGGTAAAGCTCTAATTCGTATTGACCGACCGCAGAGCTAGGTTTTTTGTTTTGTTTTGTTTTTGCAGAGAAGTAAGTATTTCAGATGAACAATGCATTTAATTGAGGATGACAAAGAGAATGTTACTAACAGTGATATATTTTACTGCTACATTAGATTTATTGTTCTGGATAAAGTTTTACAAGGCAATAGCCTATGCTAGGTTATCTAAAAGTTAGCTTGCTAACCTGAGAGGCACATAGCTAATGACAAGCTAGTTGGAAGATTGAAGAGAATTCAATATTGTTGATTTTTTTATTTTATTTTTTACAGATCAGTTTCAATAAACTTACCATGCTCTGTTAAGCAAAATAAGCTGTATAGTATTTAGTTGTTCCCTGCTTTGGCTGTGCTGTGAGTCAAGGGTGCAACATAGCCATGACTTGAAAGTAGTCCGAATGCACCCCCTGCCAGATACATTGTACAATTACGCCATTTGCAAGTAAGGACACGACTCGTTCCCAGCATTTTAGGAGTGAAAATTAGCAGTATTTATATTGTTTATACGCTGTTTTTATATATATTTTAATTCCACAGCAGAAAAAGCTATATGGTCTCTGTAAGTAGGTCTAGGAAAAAAATGTTATTGGTATCTGTTGTCGGCCAAATAAGTTTTAACATATTGCCATATCGGATATTGGCCAAAAATCCAATATCATGCATCCCTAGTTTGTTCACTCATGTTGCATGCTTTTGCTGGATTTACTGGTATTACTATCTGGTCAGAATAATGTGAGGTAAAATCAAAGTGCAAAGTTTTTGTTTGATTTTAGGAAGTCTACTTAAGTGACTGATAAGTATTTTTAGTAATGAACAAACAAGTATCACTTGCATTGTGCTAAGTGAATTTTTGTATCTGTCGTTCAGGTCCAGTCTTTGGCATCGAGACCTAAATCATGTGAAGTGCCTGGAATCAAGTAAGTGTTTTTCTTATTTATATTTTGTAAATAAAACTCTTCCACTCATTACAGTATATTGTCTAGTAGTGTGATGGAATGCAAACTATTTTAAGAGTAAACTTCTTACTCATTTAAAACTGTATTGTCATTATTCTGCAGACAAAACTGAGTCACTGTGTTTCTGAAAATAAAATACTAAATATTTCCTTTTGACACGTCACCATTAATTTTCAAGTATGTAAAAAATGCACACAAAAAAAATGCAAATAAGACGAGTTTTTCTTATCTGGTTTGAAGAGAATAATCTTTGCTTCATCGTGTCACCGGAGGGTGTCAGATCAGCTACTTTTCTTATGTTTGTTAAAACCCGGAACAGACGGTGGGTAAAACAAGAATAAATACAGTCGACATTCATACAACACTTTTTTTTATTTTTTAAGAATTTACTTTTTTATATATGCTATGGGAGTTTGTTGGGACCTTGCTGCTTGTTAGGTGGAACTGAAAACAATGGCTGGGTTTCATTACTTGTCTCGACTAAACTACTTTGTTAAAATCGAAATGCTCCCCTTTGTTTGGGGAAATAAATTCAGTCTAGATGAGCTGTCAGAAATAATAAGTCTAAATTTCCATGCCGGGCCACTAGGTGGCGATAACACCCACACATATATTTTTTTCCAAACACAAAGAAATGTGGGGAAAACTGTTTTTTTTTTTTTTATTATTATTATTTTTTTGTATTGGTTTGTTGTTTTTGTATTGGTTTGTTGTTTTTCTTCACTTTAGAAAATTCTTTTTTTTCCCTCACCAAAAACAGTTTTCTTGTAGGTGAAAGGTCAAACACAAGAGAAAGAGTTGTTTTACAAAATATTACAAAAGTCCATCCTCATGTGGACAGGATCTTTGTGCATTTGACATATATAACCTATTTACTTCCTTTCTACTTATTAGTGCATATTAGTGAAATATTTTGACTATTTTAAACTATATTTATTTGTTTATTCCAAACGCAAATCAAAATGTCAAAAGAAACCCAGTATGTGTTCATCTTTATACATTTGATCCCAAAAAAGAAGGTCACAGCACGATTGCTGCATTCAGATTTCTCTGGATTCATGGTTAAAATAATATAGAACTCTGTTTTTACAAATATTTTACATGATTTCTGATAGAATGTAGTTTGTAAATGCCTCTAGTCTGACAATATTTTTAAGTCAAATTAATAGAAGGCAAAACTGTTTTTGAAAGAGCCTTCAAAGATTTAATACGTTAGGAAGGTTTTTGTTTTGTTTTTTAAGTATTTGCTCAGTTTAGTGTTGTGCCAGTTTGAGGCCAGTCAAGTCCCAGTTACTTTTCATAATCCCACATAGGGAAAATTGAATAATAGTAAATAATAAGATTTTAAAAAATAGAAGAGAAAGGAACATGTATTAAGGAATCAAAGCATCTTGTTTTAAGACCACAATGATGAGAAATTTAATTACCCTGCTTTCTACTTTTTTGTAAATCTGGCACAAAATAAATGTCCACACATATATTTTCTGTCTTTCCCATAGTATATTCCCGTCTCCAGAGCAGAACCCTGGTTTGTCCCACTACCAGGGCTCTTTGAGTACCGGGGGCTCCCTTCCGGATCTCAGCAACCTGCAATTCTCGTCTCCACTGTCCACCCCCCTGGACCCTGAAGACAACGGAGGGTACCCCAACCTGAGTGGGGGCAGCAGCACAGGAAACCTGCCTGCTGCTATGATGCACCTTGGCATCGGCAACTCCCAGGGTGAGTGGAAAACACTTCCAGCTTTTGTTGGGGCTTCTGTTTTTAGTTGTTTTAGAGAAGTAGACAGGAGAAGCTATTGTTTGATGGACTCCAATAGCATAGCTCTTACCACTAGATGATTTCAAGTTCACATAGCTTGAAAACATAGCTTAGAATAAACTTTAATTTTTTGAGTAAAGTTATATTTCTGGAATGCATAGTGTTGTTTAAATTGGTAATGTTATGTTGTACTGATGGATTAAAAATAAACTGTATTTTAAAAGACAAGACAGGATTAAAGTGTATGCTTTGCTTTTAATACCAGTTGTAATAGTTTTGTAACTTGGAGGATTGATTTATGAAGTGTGCAGTGTGTTCGTCAGGTCTTTTGAGACAACATTTCAGAGCATCTTGTTAGAGAAAAAACCCTCTTGGGGGGTGGGATTTGAGTGGATTGCATCATGTTTGAATTAGCGTAATTCAATAAATGATCAAATGTGAAAAAGGAATTACAGTTTTTGCATTGATTCTGTCTAATGTGTTTGTCTAATTTTCCTGTTCATACCAACTAAAAGTTGATGCTGAAAGGGTGATTTTGCCTTTATGTAACTTAATACAGTGTATTTTTCATATTTGATCATTTATTGAATTGCTTTTATCATAGTACAGTTACCTTAAAAGGTCTGAAGCTCTTAACCTTGACCTCTCTAAGTGGCTTCAAACATCTGCTAAAATCATGGCAAAAACCAACACAGACATGTTCCTGTTTTTAGTATTTTACATTGCTTTACAATCTAACTGTATTGTTTCTTTTTTAATACCATTTTCTTTCATTTTTTCATTTATTCTTCTTAGTTTACGTGGTTTCTTTTATGATTGTCTATTGTTGTCCACTGTTGTCATCATTCTTTGTTAAAAATCAGGTCTCTCTTGTAAATGAGTCCCCAAGGCTCAATGAGACTAACCTGTATAAATAAAGGCTGAATCTTACAGTATGGTTTCAAATATAAACAAACGTACCTCATTCATTTAACGAAAACAGTGTTTATGTTGCCACAATCTGGTTTAGAATCAACATTTGCAGATATTTATGATAAACTACATGATAAACCTGAAACTGACACTCTCAAAGCGAGAACAAGATGAGGGTTTGAGGATAATAAGTTACACAGAGACATACCTTTGCTATAATATTAGATGTACTGTACAAAAACATGTAGCATTAAAATCATTTACCTGAAGAACTAAAGCAGCAGAAAACAGTGAATCACAGAGAGACACTCAAACAGGCTGTGCGCGCTCCCACAGCGCAGCCACGCCCTCTCAGACAGCTGGAGTTGGTTGTGTGCACAAGTCAGATGTGTCTGCATGCTGAAGAAGTTGGTCCAAATGCATCAACATGTAATACCAAGTTAAATTGTACATACAAAAGTCCAGGAGAGGTTACGGGGTGGGGGGAGGGTGTAATGATGTATTGGCTTTGATGATTCCACCCCAGCACACAATTGGTCATGTGCGAACATTTACAGATGTTTATTAATTTATTTCATGACTTGATCTTTCTGGAGGTTCAGGCAGTTCTGTTGACAGGGCGGGGCACCCTCCTTTTATATCGGTCGGGGAAACCCTGCAATGTCCTGAAGGACGGAGAGTTTACACCACCGTGTCTTCTAGTGGCACATAAATCCTGCCCACTTTCACTCCTCTCTCTGTCTTTAATGACTTGAGTTTTAGGTTGAGCAGATGGAGAAACAAAGAAATGTGATTGTGCCTAAATTAACCGGGGGGACTTCCTCCCTCCAGAATGTTTTGTGAAAAAGGTCGAGCAAAATTCATCTGGCCTCTAAAGTCAGAGATGATCCAGACCGTCTCAAAACATGGGGAGTAAAAGTGTTTTCAGTAATCGGTGCCGTCAGAAACACAAACACCCACTTCTGTTCGTTTGTCTTCAAGTTCTGGTCCTTTTTCTGACAGTTTCTCTTTGTGGTGCTTTTGAGTGTTGCTGATGCAGATTCAGTTTTATTTGTGTTTATTCTTTAAGCATGTGCTGCTTTTCATCACCAACACATAAAATATATTTGTTTTGCTGATCCAAAAAGTAAAAAAAAAAAAAAAGGCAACATAGACTGATCTTTTTTTATTTCATTTGTGATCCTAAAAGCTTTCTCAGATCAGAACTGGAGAGTGTGGAGTTGTTAACGTGTTGTTGGTTTTAACAAGCTGAAAATTGTTTCCAGCTTTAGATGCTGTAAAATGTGAAGGCTGATGTGAGTCTGTCTTCCTCTGAGCTCTGCAGCCTGATCTGAGCTCGCCCACTGCTGCCCCTTCACTCCTTCTTCTTTGGACGGGTTGTTGGGCTCAAATGGCCCACACAGTTCAGATTGGCTGATCACCAAAGCCACCAAGGAATTTGGACCCTTTTGGCTCATCACAATCAGCTCTTTTCTTTCCCCTCATTTCCCTCTTCCCCCCTCCACTTCCCATCCTTCTCTCCCTCCCCACTCACACAATAAAGACTAGTGTTTTATGTCGTAGACTGGAGTGCACTGGAGAATCATGTACACCCGTAAAGCCATCGCATGTTCTCCTTGTGTCGTTGGACTCAGTGGTTCTTGTGTTGTGTTCACTGTCCCAGCAGGTTTGTCCTCCTCTTTGAGCAACCCGTCCATTCAAGCTTCCCTCAACAACTGCCAGCTGCAGTCATCCCTCAGCAATCCGTCCATCAGCTCGTCCCTTCGTCTGTCCAGCAACTCGCCTCGACGGCGCCCAGCTCCCATCAGCCCCCTCACCCTGTCTCCAGGAGGGGAGCAGCGCAGGGGGCTGGCCAAGCAGCTGTCCCCCACCATGTCCCCATCGCTGTCCCCCATCACGCAGGTAAACTCGACACAGGAGATTAACATGTCAGGGACAGAAAAAGCTTTTTATGAGCCTCAGAATTGTGTTTGAAACCCAGTTTCAGAATAAAAAACAAAGTGTTTGTTTCAACATGTTTTATTCTTTATTTTAAAGTAGAAATCTTTAAAATACAATGCAATATACAATTTCAAATGGACAAACAAAAGTAAGTAACTGCTATGTGTTGTCATCATTGTATGTTTCCATACAAAGACTCTGGTTCTCTGCATTTAACCCATCACACCTGGGAGACACCCAGGTGGAGCAGTGGGCAGCTACTGAGCGCCCTGGGAGCAATTAGGGGTTATGTGTCTTGCCGAGACACGACGACATGTGGGAACAGCTGGGAATCAATCCACGACTTTCTGGTCCCAAGTCGGCTGCCCTCTTGAAAATGATGATGACTTGGACCCACCTCCAGGGCTTTCTTTAACTGTGTTTACATTCTGCCCTCAGCATGTAAGCTCCAGGCGCATGCTCCATGCTTTGTTTCTGTTTCTAATGCAGCAGTGTTGACCACCACAAACAGGCCTGGCATGGTTACTACGGTGTCTTGGGTTGTTTTTGTTGACTCAATGAATGGGAGTTATCACAAGAAGTGATTCTGAGTGTGAATGATTGTTCCTGTGATGGACAGGCAGTGTGTTAGGGTGCCCTTCACCTCTCACTGCATGACAGCTGCAGACTGGTGTCAGCCCTCTTCTACCCTGAGATGGATGATTCATTGATTGAATTAATGTTGTTACAGAATTTACCTTTTGTTGATAGATAATCACAGTTTTATGTCGTTTTAGATGTTTCTGTTTTATTTTTCAGTGTTACAGACTGAATTTTCTTACACACACTTTTTCCTTCAAAAGTTATTGTGCATTTTTTAATTTGTTCAAGGTTTTCAGTAAAGATATTGTAAGTACAGTATAATAAATCAATACGTTTTTGTTTTTCTTATTTGTGGACGTCTGAACACAGCAGTAAAAATACTGGAACAAAATAGAAATGCTGATTTACAACATTGTAACATCCATCTATTATCTTTTACCCTCTTCTTCCTGTTGCGGGTCGCTGGGTTCACTGGTGTCCATGTCCAGTTATCATTGTGCGAGAGGCAGGGGACACCCTGGACAGGTCTCCAGTCCATCACAGGGACACATAGAGACAAAAAAGACAAACAACTATTCACTCTTTCACTCACACCTAGGGACAATTTAGAGTTACCAATCAGACTAACATGCATGTTTTTGATCTGTGGGAGGAAACTAGTGTACCTGGATAAAACCCACACATGCACAGAGAGAACATGCAAACTCCACCCAGAAAGGCCTCCAGGCTGGTATTTGATCTGGGGCGACCTGCTCGCTGAGAGGCAGCAGCTCTGCCAACTAACCCACCGTGCCGCCCACAATGCAACATGGGACCTCAAATGAAGCATTCTGTTGAGTGTACATATTACAGCAGGGCTATTCAACTGGCCGCGGGCCACTCCCATCCTGCAGGTGACTTAAGTAGAGGCTGCCGATTAGTTCATTAATAAAAAGAAGAAGAAGAAACAATCACAAATCTATGAGAAAGACCTTTACATTTTAGAAAAATTACATATACACTGGCTGACCAAAAAAAAAAAGTCTCCACCTGGATTTAACTAAACAAATAGGTACGAGCCTCCTGTTGGATAATTACTGCATGGACGATTATCTTTCAGCTGCAACAAGTTATTTAACCCCAACTGGTGCAATGAGCTGCTTCTCATTTCTTAAACAACCATGTTGAAAGACGCATCTCGTGGTCGTGGAAAAGATGTCAGTCTGTTTGAGAAGGGTCAAATCATTGGCATCAAGCAGAGAAAACATCTAAGGAGATTGTAGAAACTACTAAAATTGGGTTAAGAACTGTCCAACACATTATTAAACACTGGAAGGATAGTGAGGACCCATCATCTTTGAGGAAGAAATGTGGCCGTAAAACAATCCTGAATGATCGTGATCGGCGATCACTTAAACGTTTGGTGAAATCAAATGGAAGAAAATCAACAGTAGCACTCAGGGCTATGTTTAATAGTGAAAGTAAGAACATTTCCACACGCACAACGTGAAGGGACCTCAAGGGATTGGGACTGAACAGCTGTGTAGCATTAAGAAAACCACTAATCAGTGAGGCTAACTGGAAAAAAAGGCTTCAATTTGCTATGGAGCATAAAGATTGGACTCTGGAGCAATGGAAGAAGGTCATGTGGTCTGATGAGTCCAGATTGACCCAGTTCCAGAGTGAAGGGTGTATTAGGGTAAGAAGAGAGGCAGGTGAACTGATGCACCCATCATGCCTGGTGTCTAGTCATCAATGCAAGATCTTGGTGAAAAATTAATGCAACACTGGATGGAAATAGATATTGTGACATTGCAGAAACTTATAGAAACAATGACACAGAGAATCTTGCCGTAATCAAAGCTAAAGGCGGTCCAAAAAATACTATTGTGTGACCTTACTTTTTGGTGGCAACTTTTTTTGGGGGCCAGGAAGTGTATTTCAGTCAGAGTGGCAACCCTGTTGTGTACCCATTTCAATTTTAACATTTTCATGAGCATACAGAAGTATGCTTTATGACGTGACCCCTCCCCACTGAAACTATTGACCTACACAACACCAGGTTAGACCACGAGCTGGATTAAACAACAGATTTGTTACTGGGGGAACATTGATGATGACGCACAGCAGCGTTTTACTTAGCTTAAAAACTAAACTTGAACTTAAACTTAAAAACTAGTTCACCACAAATTGGATTGATTAAATGAGTTAATTGTAGTAAATGACACAACTGAGCCATTGGACACACATCGTGCTCGCTGTCAGCCCAGCTGAGTTCTGCTCCGCCTCCTTTGGTTCTGCTCAAAGCTCACACCTGAGCGGGACGTGGACGCTTCAGCTGTAATTTATGAAGCGTTTGAGGAAAAACTGGTCTGTGCAGCCGTCATTGTAAATGAGAACTGGTTCTTAATGGACCCACCTGGAACAGCAACATGTAGGTTGTTCAAGGTACATAAAAAATTTATTTTGAAAAGCGTCAGAAATGTCATAAAATCATTTGTGTTAAATAGGAGGCATAGTGTGTCATTTTTGCTTTAAATATTGTTTCACATTAGAATATCATTACTTTTATTGCAAATAAATAAATCTTGAAATGTAATTTCTTTAAATCACACGTTTGGTAATAAACAAATTTAAAGGGTAACAGATCATTGTAGTACTTGGTTTATTTACATCATGACTTCAATCGCTGGATGTCCGGCACCTGAGCTGCTGGCTCTCAGAAACTGTGGCCCCCTGAGCACTTTAGTTGAATGTCCCTGTAATACAGGGGAGTACATAGGGCGGCTGTGGCTGAGTGGTTAGAGCAGTCGTCTTCCAATGTGAGAGTTGGGGGCTCGATTCCACCTGCAGTCACATGCTGAAGTGTCCCTGGGCAAGACACTGAACCCCTCATTGCCTCTCATGTGTGTCCCATCAGTGTATGAATGTGATAAAGCTCTGAATATTCTTTGTATAGATCTAGTAGAGTGCTGTATGAATGGGTAAATGAGGCACAGATTGTGTTGTAAAGAACTTTGAGTATCTTGATAAAAATAGAAATGCGATGTATAAGTACAGTCCATTTACTCTTGATTTGACGATGAAAGTTTAGAGAACCTGAACAAAGAAACTTTTACTTCTCAGTATTTTAAACTTGTGATTTTTATTTGTTTTCCTTCTAATTGGTGTAGGGGGTTGCGTTGGACACCAGCAACATGCCAAGGGAACCACCCCCACCCTATCCTCTCTACCAGCAATCCCAGCAAGCAGTGGACCAGAGCCGACAGCGGCAGCAGCCGGCAGTACCGCAGCAGCATCAACAGCAGCCTGTTTCACCTCTTCAGAACATCCCCCTGGACTTCAACACTGGCCAAGTATGAGCTTTTAATTTCGATTTGTATTTTTCACAGTGGGGTTTGTTTAAACTTTGTATTTGCTTTTTTATGGTTTCAGTCCATGTTTGTTTGTTTTTTGTTTTTATGTAAACTGTGTGTTTACATGCTCTGGGTACTGAGGATAGAAACTAGCCTGTGGCTAATCTGGTGCAGATAGAGCTCTCTTGAGATTAATGTTGAGTGCATTAAAATTAGTTCACATTTTATAAACAAACTCAAACTGCTGCCAAGAGCGTCATCAACAGGGGCCACTCTCTGTCAGATGTTGCATGTTTCCTTTTCTGTTCTTATTCTTACAGGACAGAAATTAGTTTGGCAGATTCGGCATTTGAGACAATTTATCTACAATGTAGTTTTCATTTTAAATATGTTAGAACAGAATTTAAAATATCCATCAATCCATTAATTACTTAATTAATTATCTGTCTCTTGTTCTGGACTCGGGTCTCGGGGGCAGCAGCTTGAGCAGGGAGGTCCAGACATCTCTTTCCACAGTCACCTCTTCCAGCTCTTCTGGGAGGACTCCAAGGTGCTCCTTGGTCAGCTGAGAGAAGTTGTCTCTGCAGCATGTCCTGGATCTTGCCCAGGGTTTTTTCCCAGCTGGATTTGCCTGGAAAACCTCCCTAGGGACGTCCAAGGGGCATCGTTACCTGATGTCTGAACCACCTCAACTGGCTCTTCTCGATGTGGAGGAGCAGCGGCTCTACTCAGAGTCGCTCCTGGATAACAGAACTTCCCAAGATGGGGTAGAGACAGGGCAGCCGATTCGGGACCCAAAAGTCCCAGGTTCGATCCCCAGCCATTCCCACATGTCGTGGTGTCTCTGAGCAAGACACCCAATCCCTAATTGGGGCAGCTTACATATCTGCCCACTGCTCCAGCTGGTGTATCCCATGTGTGACGGGTTAAATGCAGAGAACTAATTTTGTCATTGTATGGGAACATGCAATGATGACAACACATATCCCTTATTATCTCTAAGGGAGAGTCCAGCTATCCTGCGGAGGGAACCGTTTTGCGACCTAGAATGTTTTTGTTCTGTGAACACTTCTTATGGACACCCTTATGTTCGAACATGGTGTTTGTGATGGAGAGACCATGACAAGCACAGGAGTCCAACAGAACACTGCTCGGGTTCGGAACAGAGAAACCGTTCCTTCTAATCACGCCGCTCCAGGTCACACTTATGTGGGCATTGAAGTCCACCAGCAGAATAAAAGAGCTCCAAACTGGAACACCTTCCAGCATCCCCGCAAATGACTCTTAAGAAGGCTGGGTATCCTGAACTACTGTTCGACGTATAGGTACAATCAACAGTCAGAGCCTGTCTCCTCACCCGAAGGTGCAGGAAGGTTACCCTCTCATATACCAGGGAGAACTCCTCCACACAAGCACCAAACGAGGGCTATAAGTAGACCCACACCAGTGCAGCGCCTCTCAACATAGGCAACTCCAGAGTGGAATAAGGTCCAGCCCCTCTCAAGGAGATTGGTTCCAGAGCCCATGCTGTGTCTCAAGGTGAGCCTGACTACATCTAGTCAGTACCTCTCACCCTCATGCACAAGCTCAGGCTCCTTCCCTTCCCGTGTCCCAAGAGTCAGCTTTGGTACACCAGGGTCAGAACGCCAAAAACCCCTGTCATCTAATCATGCTGATGATGTATACGTTTTTATAAAACTGGTCCAAATGTGCCTGCCTTCCTTTCAAAGTCTACTCCAGTAGATTAATTCATAAATGTGGGGGTTGTTGCCCAGGCGGGTGTGGTGTGGGCAGAGATGGCCAAGTAATGTGCATGGCCAAGATTACAATTGCGCAAGCTGTGCACACAAATGGGTCAAGATTTTCATCAAGTCGATGGTTAAAAACACGACCCCACGGTTCTCTGTTTGCAGTGAAAATTCAGTCTGCGCTGGAAAATGTGCCTTTAGTTATTTAACCAACTCGTCTCACGGTCGCAGCCCAATCACATACCACCTTCTCTCATATACTATACTTTATACTAATTCGTGAAATGTCTTGTTTGTTTCAATTTCCTAAAAACTCCAGTTTATTTAACAAAACAGTCAATAACAATAGAAAAGTAGGTTGATCTTTTTTTTTTACTTGTTTCTTGGCCCACCCATCATGTCGCCTGGCGTGTTTAAAAAAAATACATTGAGCTGGTTGCAGCAGGGTTTCTCAGTCCAGATCCTGGAGACCCCGCGCTCCAACACACATCAGTCCAATGAATGGGCCTTTATCAGCTCTCTGTTTTATCTTGATTAGAGTTGACTCGTTCATTTAAGTCATGTGAAGCAGGAAAACCTCCCAAACATGCAGGGCAAGGATCGCCCAAGATGCAGACTGGAAAACACTGGCTTCAAGAGTAAATGAGTTGTTTCCTGGGGGGGGGGGGGGCATGTTCTACTGTACCTCCATGAATATGGTCATAATTATTCAATCATTCTTTTCACTTATAATGAAAACTAGTATAAACTTTGTGTTTTTCCTTTGCTTGACAGCAGAACAGCATGGCAACATTCTTCAGTGATCCGTTTGTAGAACAACAGTTCTCAAATCGTCACAATAAGACTCTACCGTATCGGGTAAGGATTGTTTAAACATGTACAAAACCAAACCTTCATTCACAGGGGAACTCCATGTAGACTTCTCAGCCAGCACTGTTAGTTTGCAAAGTATAACAGGTTCACAGATGTGACGACCATTATTTCAGGAAAAAAAGAGGAACAAAGGTCAAGACAACATGTCCTACATAACCTACATGTTTTTAAAGAAAACAACTGAATACTGATTTTGTTCATATCTTAGATCTTATTACCGTTTGTCTTTTACAATTTATATTTTTGTTGGATGTAACTTACCCTGTGTTCACAATTTCGTTCCACCACATGTGATGCAAATGACAAATAAAGAAACTCTGACTCTGAACACAGTAGTCCCTCACTACTTCGCAGTTTGTTTATCGAGGACTTGCTATCGCGGTTTTTCAAAATAAGATTGGACATGACACACAATTGGCTGATTGATGGATGAGCCACACGATCAGCATGGAATTTTTATTTAAAATAAATTATTTTAAATCATTTAGCACCTGCTGCACATTTGTGCAGCCCAGAGCTGCAAAAAAGCTGCCTCCTGCATTTTTGCAGCCCATACTGCAGGATGAACTTCCTGCTGCAGCTGATCAGCTGTTCACCATGCAGAGCAGAGAAGTGGGCGTGGTCAAGAGCGCTTGCAGGTGGCTGAGAGCAGCGGCGACAGAGAGAGGGAAATCATGACATTCTGTGCTCTTTTAGAGCATTTAGAGTTTAGAAACATTGTTTATAATATTAAGAGTGTGGGAAGAGTTTAAAACGCCTTTATATACACTATATTGCCAAAAATATTCGCTCACCTGCCATGACTCACATATGAGCTTAAGTGACATCCCATTCCTAATCCATAGGGTTTAATATGACATTGGTCCACCCTTTGCATCTAGAACAGCTTCAGCTCTTCTGGGAAGGCTGTCCACAAGGTTTAGGAGTGTGTTTATGGGGATTTTTGACCATTCTTTCAGAAGCACATTTGTGAGGTCACATACTGATGTTGGACAAGAAGGTCTGGCTCTCAGTCTCTGCTCTAATTCATCCCAAAGGTCTTCTATCGGGTTAGGTCAGGACTCTTTGCAGGCCAGTCAAGTTCATCCACACCAGACTCTGCCACCCATGCCTTTATGGACTTTGCTTTGTGCACTGGTGCACAGTCATGTTGGAAGAGGAAGGGGCCAGCTCCAAACTGTTCCCACAAAGTTGGGAGCATGGAATTGTCCAAAATGTCTTGGTACGCTAAAGCAGTCAGAGTTAATTTCACTGGAACTAAGGGGCCAAGCCCAGCTCCTGAAAAACAACCCCACACCTTAACCCCCCCCTCCACCAAACTTGACACTTGGCACAATGCAGTCAGACAAGTACTGTTCTCCTGGCAACCACCAAACCCAGACTCGTCCATCAGATTGCCAGATGGAGAAGCGTGATTCGTCACTCCAAAGAACGCGCCTCCACTGCTCTAGAGTCCAGTGATGTTTTTGCAATTGCGCCGCTCAAGGTGGCTGCATGTTGGAGCAGCTCTGTTACTTTCATTCTGAGATTTTGCTTTTGGAAACTTTAATTCCTCTTTTTCTGGATGTAAATCACATTTTTTGGATGATTGTTTCCTCTGGTGTCAGATGCTGTGCAGCTGGAAGGATTTTTACTGAAACTTTTTTAGTTTTGGACATTTGTTATGATGCGTAACCATGGCAACAAGGCAGTTTCTACAACCATCAGCAGCTGATTAACATCTCAAAAGCTCAAGTAATATCTCAACTACAGCCCTAAATTTCAAATGAGTTGAAAAGGATGTTCTGTGGACGCATTCTCATCTACCTGCCAGCTGTGCTCGAGTGCCTGACCACTGAGATCCTGGAACTAGCAGGAAACACGGCTCATGACAGCGGAAGGACAGGATCGTCCATCAGCACCTACAGTTGGCTGTCTGCAGCGACGAGGAGCTCAACAAGCTGCTGGGAGGAGTGGCCATTGCCCTGGGAGGATTTCTGCCCAACATTCAGGTGATCCTGAAGCCCAGGAGGCCAACCAAGTGCAAGTAAACGATCAACATCTGTGGCCAGTTTTTTCAGATCTGCTATAAGACGGACCATCACAAGAGATCCTTCCCGCCCACAACCATCAACATCTAGAACAACTCTTTTATGAAACAAGGAAAATGAGCTACAACAACATTTAACTTCCCTCTGGGATTAATAAAGTATTTTTGAATTGAATTGAATTGAATTGAATTGATGGCGTGCTTTACACCACTGCGTCCGACGCTTTGCATTGCACTTGGTGATGTATGACTTGGATGCAGCTGCTCCACCAAGGAAACCCATTCCATGAAGCTCTCTGTGCACAGTTCTTGAGCTAATCTGAAGGCCACATGAAGTTTGGAGGTCTGTAGTGATTGACTGCAGAAAGTTGCCAACCTCTTCGCACTATGAGCTTCAGCATCCGCTGACCCCGCTCCGTCAGTTTACGTGGCCTATCCCTTTGTGACTGAGTTGCTGTCATTCCCACACACTTCCATTTTCTTATAATACAGTTGACTGTGGAATATTTAGGAGCGAGGAAATTTCACATCTGGATTTGTTGCATAGGTGGCATCCTATCATTTCCATGCTGGAATTCACTGAGCTTCAGAGAGAGACCCATTCTTTCACAAATGTTTGTAAAAACAGTCTGCATGCCTAGGTGCTTCATTTTATACACCTGTGACCATGGAAGAGATTGTAACACCTGATTCTGATCATTTGCATGGGTGAGCAAATACTTTTGGCAATGTAGTGTGTGTGT